TAAACAGGGAATCCTTTCCCCATTGCTTGTTTTTGTCAGATTTGTCAAAGATCAGATGCTTGTAGGTATGTTGTGTTACTACTGAGGCCTCTGTTCTGTTCCACTGGTCTGTATCTCTGGTTTGGTAGCAATACCATGCTGTTTTGATTACTGTACACTCACAGTATAGTTTTAAGTCAGGTAGCATGATGCCTCCAGCTTTGTTCTTTTTACTTAGGATTGTCTTGGCTATGTGGGCTCTTTTTTGGTTCTATATGAAGTTTAAGGTGGTTTTTCCAGTTCTGTGAAGAAGGTCAATTGTAGCTTGATGGGGATAGCATTAAATCTATAAATTACTTTGGGCAGTATGGCCATTTTCACAATAATGATTCTTCCTAACCATGAGCATAGAATGTTTTTCCATGTGTTTGTGTCCTCTCTTATTTCCTTGAGAAGTGGTTTGTAGTTGTCATTAAAGAGGTCCTTCATGTCCTTTGTTAGTTGTATTCCTAGGTGTTTTATTCTCTTTGTTGCAATCGTGAATGGGAGTTCGCTCATGATTTGACTCTTTCTCTGTTACTGGTGTATAGGAATGCTTGTGATTTTTGCACGCTGATTTTGTATCCTGAGACTTTTCTGAAGTTGCTTATCATCTTAAGGAGATTTTGGGCTGAGACAATGGGGTTTTCTAAATATACAATCATGTCATCTGCAAATAGAGACAATTTGACTTCCTCATTTCCTAATTCAGTACCCTTTATTTCCTTTTCTTGCCTGATTCCTCTGGCTAGGACTTCCAATACTATGTTGAATAGGAATGGTGAGAGAAGGCACCCTTGTCTAGTGCCAGTTTTCAAAGAGAATGCTGCCAGTTTTTACCCATTCAGTAAGATATTGTCAGTGGGTTTTTTGTAGATAGCTTTTATTATTTTGAGATATGTTCCATTGATACCTAGTTTATTGAAACTTTTTGGCATAAAGGGCTGTTGAATTTTGTTGAAGGCCTTCTCTGCATCTATTGACATAATCACGTGGTTTTTGTCTTTGGTTCTGTTTATGTGATGGATTACATTTATAGATTTGCGTATGTTGAACCAGCTTTTCATCCCTGGGATGAAGCCTACTTGATCGTGATGTATAATCTTTATGATATGCTGTTGGATTCAGTTTGCCAGTATTTTATTCAAGATTTTTGCATCTATGTTCATTATGAATATTGGCCTGAAATTTTCTTGCCAGGTTTTGGTATCAGAATGATGTTGGGCTCATAAAATGAGTTAGGGAGTATTCCCTCTTTTTGTATTGTTTGAAATAGTTACAGAAGGAATGGTACCAGCTCCTCTTTGTGTGTCTGGTAGAATTCAGCTGTGAACCCATCTGGACCTGGACTTTTTTTGGTTGGTAAGCTATTAATTGCTGCCTCAACTTCAGACCTTGTTGTTAGTCTATTCAGGGATTCAACTTCTTCCTGGTTTAGTCTTGTGAGGTTGTAAGTGTTCAGGAATTTATCCATTTCTTCTAGATTTACTGGTTTATGTGCATAGAGTTGTTTATAGTAATCTCTGATGGTAGTTCATATTTATGTGGAATCGGTGGTGATATCGCCTTTATCATTTTTTATTGCATCTATCTGATTCTTCTCTCTTTTCTTTTTTGTCTGGCTAGTGGTCTATTTTGTTATCTTTTCAAAAAAACAGCTCCTTGATTGATTGAGTTTTTTGAAGAGTTTTTGTGTCTCTGTCTCCTTCAGTTCTGCTCTGATTTTAGTTACTTCTTGTCTTCTGCTAGGTTTTGAATTTGTTTGATCTTGCTTCTCTAGTTCTTTTAATTTTGATAGGGTGTCAATTTTAGTACTTTCCTTGCTTCTCATGTGGGCGTTTTGTGCTATAAATTTCCCTCTAGACACTGCTTTAAATGTGTCCCAGAGATTCTGGTACATTGTATCTTCGTTCTCATTGGTTTCAAAAACATCTTTATTTCTGCCTTCATTTCATTATTTATCCAGTAGTCATCCAGGAGCAGGTTCACTTTCCATGTAGTTGTGCAGTTTCACATGAGTTTCTTAGTCCTGAGTTCTAATTTGATTGCACTGTGGTCTGAGAGACTGGTTGTTAACAATTTCTGTTCTTTTGCATTTGCTGAGGAGTGATTTACTTGTAATTATGTGGTCAATTTTAGAGTAAGTGTGATGTGGTGCTGAGAAGAATGTATTTTCTGTGGATTTGGGATGGAGAATTCTGTAGATGTCTATTAGATCTGCTTGGTTCAGATCTGATTTCAAGTCCTGGATATCCTTGTTAATTTTCTGTCTTGTTGATCTAATAGTAACAGTGAAGAATTTTGTTATTACCCACCTTCTGAAGCCTGCTTTTGTCACTTTGTCAAACTCATTCTCCATCCAGTTTTGTTCCCTTGCTGGTGAGGAGTTTTGATCCCTTGGAGGAGGAGAAGCGTTCTGATTTTTGGTGTTTTCATCCTTTTTGCGCTGGTTTCTTCTCATCTTCTTGGATTTATCTACCTTTTGTCTTTGAGGTTGGTGACTTTTGGATGGGGTCTCTGAGTGGGCATCCTTTTTGTTGATGTTGAGGCTAATTCTTTCTGTTTTTTAGTTTTCCTTCTAACAGTCAGGCCCATCTGCTGCAGGACTGCTGGAGGTCCACTCCAGACCCTGCTTGCCTGGGAATCACCTGCAGGGGTTGCAGAACAGCAAGGACTGCTGCCTGTTCCTTCCTCTGGTAGGTTCATCCCAGATGGTTACCCACCAGATGTCAGCCATAGCTCTCCCGTATTAGGTGATTCTTTGTTACAGGGGTTAGGGAGCTGCTTGAGGAGGCAGTCTGTCCCTTGTCAGAGCTGAAGTGCTTGATTGGTGCTGAGTTGCTCCCTTCAAAGCGCTGGGCAGGGACATGTAAGTCTGCTGCAGCAGAACTCACAGCTACTCCTTTTCCCAGGTGTTCTGTCCCAGGAAGGTGTGGCTTTATTTATAAGTCTCTGACAGGCTGCTGCTTTTCCCAGAGATGCTCTTCCCAGCAAGGAGGGAGTCTAGTCACAGTCTGCCTGCAGAGGCATTGTTGATCTGCCACGGGCTCCCCTCACCTGCTGTGTAAACTTCTTTGTCCCGTTGTTTATGTAGGTAAGGTTAGAGCTGCCACAGTAATGGCAGACGCCCTACCCCCAAGGAGCTTGACTGTCCAGGGTCATGCTCAAACTGTTGTGCTGGCTGCGAAAATCCTAAGCCAGTGGGATTCAGTTTGCTGGTCTCCGTGGGGATGGGACCCCCCCAAGCCAGATCACCTGGCTCCCCGCCTTCAGCCCCCTTTCTCTCAGGTGTATGGGTGACTGTCTCACAGGCACTCCAGGTGCCAGTCAAAACGGCTGGGGGGCGGTGGTGGGGGGATGCTTGTGGTGCCAGTTGGCTGCTCAGATTTTAATCGGCTGCCCAGATTTGCTCTGGAAACCTGTGGCACCTGTCAGCATGCGGGGGATCTCCTGGTCTGTGGGCTGCAAAGACTGCAGGAGAAGCACAGCATCAGAACCGAAGCTCCGGAGTGGCTGGACATCCCCAATGGCCTCCGTTGTATAAGAGGGAGGGCCCTCCGGCCTGTTGTACTTCCCAGGTGAGGCAGCACCCCACCCTGCCTCACTTTACCCTCCTTGGGCTACACCCACTGTACACCCAGTCCCATTGAGATGAACCTGGTATCTCAGTTGGAAATGCACAGATCATTCACTTTCTGCCTCGCTCTTGCTGGGAACTGTGCTCCGGAGCTGTTCCTATTTGGCCATCATGGCGGAAGTCCACTGGTCTCGAATTTCTTGGTTCAAACCATCCTCCCACCTCAGCCTCCCAAAGTGCTAGGATTAGAGGCGTGAGCCATCTCAAGCTGCTGATTTTACATTTTTTAAGGGTGTTTTAAAAACTAAAAAGTAGAATGTGTATTCATACATCACTACGTTGATGAGACCATATGTGGCTCATAAATCCTAAAATATTTACTACCTGGTCTTTCACAGAAAAAAGAGTTGCTGACCCACCGTTTCTTGAAATTGGACTTTTGACTTGGGTTTGAGGCTGTCGTCCCTGCAGAAAAACTCAGGTGCTTAATATTCTTAATTGTCAGCTAAGTGCAGATCCATATGCTTTGAAAAGGAGCTATCCAGAAAGTAGATGCAAGATGTTCTAAGGTGGATATCTAAGGCCTAACCAAGGTTCACACTTGAATACATGATCTGCCCTCTGTATTTAGATGACACTCAAGCAAATGGTCTATTGTCTGCACTTAGTTGACACCATGTGGATGGCCTGCTGTGTTCACTTAGCTGACACTATGTGGATGGCCTGCTGTCTGCACTTAGTTGACACTGTGTGGATGGCATGCTGTCTGCACTTACGAGGGAGCCATGGTACTTTGCACCTCTGTTGCAATGCTAAGCCGATTGCAGCTTCAGAGGAGGATAATTTCCATACATGCCTTTATCGCTACTATACTTTTGACACCTGGGGGCTTTTGACAGGGACTGTTTTACTCTTTTTTGCCTATAATGAGTAATTTATGTTTTCTGTGAATTGGATTAGTAAGTCCTTTCACACCTGATATTCATATGTCACTATATTGTTTTCTTCCTTCTTTTTATTCTTAAAATTGACAATTTTTTCTCTTGTATCTTTGTTTCACTGAATCTTGGTCTCCTTATTAAAATCTTGTATATGAAATAACAGTACTTTGCTCTGATTTACTGTAAGATAAAACATGATTTTAGTGCTGTTCTCAGAATAAAGAACCAAAAATCTGTCCCAGGACTTGCATATTATGGTGACGATGAAGGGCACTTTCTGACCAGATCTAAATCTAGTGTAGTTTGCTTTCCTTTATGATCTGCTTTCTCCTGATTTTCTGGGGCAGTTACTTTTAGAGCACATACTGAAGAGGAACAAAGAGATCCTTAGCCATTTTTGTTTCTTTCATTATGTGGACTTCATTATGAGAAATAATTGGTTTGGGTTTGTTTTTAATTACCAGAGACCCGAAAGAAGGAGCTATGCCCCTGGATATTTCCATAATGCCATCTTCACTCCAGGTGAAAACCCCTGAAGGCTGCACAGAAATCCAACTTCCAGCAGAGGTCAGGCTTGTACCTTCCTCTTGCCGTGGGCTGCAGTTTGTTGCTGGAGATGGACTGCACCTGCGGCTGCAGGCACAGGTAGAATTAGGCACAAGTGAGTAATATTAGCACTTCTGTTTCTATATTTACTTTTCTGTTATAAACCAAAGGTGATTTTGCCTTTGGTAAGGTGAACTTTTCCCAGGTGATAAAAGGACTCATCAGCAGCATGGTAAAAGCTGGGGTTGAGAAGATCTAGGGTCTTTGTCAGCCTTGCCAGTTATTGACTGTATGCAATTGAACATGTTACCTAACCTCTCTGAGGCTTCCTCCTTCCTTCCCTCCCTTCTTTGTTTTCCTCCCACAGCAAAATTGAGCAGAAGGTATAGAGATTTCCCATTTACCTCCTGGTTTCTTTAATTGTAAAATTTTCTAGTACAGGAATGGGAAGATTAAATCAGATAGTTGTGTAAGACCTGATTGATTTGAAAACATTACATGGAAATTTATTCATTCAACAAATATTTTAGTTTGTGCTATGTGCTAGTCATCAACCTAGATGCTGGGGATACAGAAGTGAACAAGGTAGGGGAGATGTTTGCTCTCATGGAGCTTACATTCTAATTGGTGGGAGCAGATAATGAACAAACAATTTAAATGTTCAGAAAAGTGTTATGATAATATAAAACAGAATAGTGGGATAGGGAGTGACTAGTGTTGACTGAAGGATGATCAGAAAGGCCACTCTGATGGGTTGATGTTTGACCAGAGTCCTGAATAAGGAAAATGATCCTATCCATGTGGGGACAGTTCCAGATAAAGAAAACAGTACACAAAAGGTCCTACAGTTGAGTTTGATGCATAATTTAATTTTGAGTTTTACTGTGCCTGTTATATTTACAACATGTTTTAACTGGTTTATTGATTCAGTAAGGCAGTAGAAATTTTGCTTTTCCTAAGACCTAGAGGTTATTTATTGAATAAAATTGTTGATGCATTACATCTATTACAATAGATGTAATATATGTTTTGGGGGATTAAAATTATGTCAAAAGGGGAAACAGGCTATAAAAGACTTATGTGATGTTTATTATCAGAGAAAGATTATAATTCTTTCAGCTGCACACTGACACTTCACTGCTGCCTCATCTGTAATAAACCTTTCATCTGAACTGTGTGGATCCTGGAGGTGGGGTCAGCAGGAGTGTTTGGAAGAGCCATTTGGGAGATGCTGAACATTCTCTTGAGTCTCTGTTCTTGGCTTTTGTGAGGAAAGAGAAGACAGAAAGGGTTTCATTTCTTTTTTGCTGGAGAGCAATTTTTGGTCAAGTCCTGAATTAGTGAATAACTAGTTTGAGTTGGGCAGGGTTGGCTTTAGGAACAAGGGTTGGAGAAAAGAGATGTCACTTAAATGTTATAGGATAACTGGGAATGACTGTTCGAATAAACATAACAAGAAGGTTAGGATCACCAGGATGGGAAGTAGACTCCCTGAGAACACCTAATAATGGGCAGAGAAAGTGTTGTTTCAGGGAAGAGACCATGGAAATCTGGATGTTGTGTTGTCATCACCTTCTCCTTCAAAACAGTTACCTCTTTTACATGAGTAACCACAGCAGGAATTTTGTTTTGGATCTGGAAATTTGGGAAAGGCAAACATGAAAGCCACAGTGGAGTGTTACTGTGATTTTGAGATGGAGGAATAGAGACCACTGGGGGCATAGTATTGGGTTTTTGCCCATCCATATTCTGTATTCTGTAACTGAATATGCAAATAATCAAAACTGAAATTATTTTTAAAAATTTAAATCTGCAAACATTGTTTATAGGACAAAATAAATTGACTGCTATATGCTGATTTGCACATTGTTTGTGTTCGTTGGTCTCCTATTTCTTTACACTTTTAATATATGTTCCTCAAGTATCTGAAAAGGAAAACTATCAAAGATCTGTTCCATAGTGCATGAAAGAGTATGCAGAACAGATGCCTCAGCACTTAATTACCTGAGTGCCTTCCATATAATAGGTGCTGCATAAATATTTGCTGAATGAATAAATATGAATAGATGTGTACTGGTGTGAACTCGAATCAAACTGTTTTGTAGGAAGTGACTTTTGAAAGTTTTAGCATTCAGTTTATGTTTCAGGGTTTTTAAAAAGTTGACTTTTCAATGCTAAGAACGCCCTTTAAGGACAAGTATAGTAAACATCATACTGGTATACTGCTATTTTGAGTTCAAACTGTGACCCTCCGTGCGGAACTAGCTACAGTAGGATGTATTTGAGCAAAGCGGTAGATTGATCCTCAGCAGCAACTCTCTCGTAGGATTCCTCTATATCAAAAACTGAATTTTAAACCCGACCCAGTGCATCATACTGGGTGGCCAGCAGAGGGTAGTGTTTTACTGAAAATCTGTGGGTCTGGAATGACTTTTGGATTCCTAGGTGTCCTTTTAATCTGCTCAAAGTTAAAGAGTAATACTGTTTATTTCACCTTAGTGCTATAGGGATTTCTGGCCACCCCTTAAAAACTGTTAAGATTTTTAATTTCCAAGGTGTAAACCTTTTAGCATCAGTTTTTTGAAATCTTAAAATACATATAGAAGAACACAAATGAAATCCACATTGCTTGATCCTGATGGATATGACCTCATTTCTTTAATTAGACTTTTATAGACATATTTTAGTTGTTTCTTTTAAATGAAAGGTTCCTTATTTCATAAAAGAAATATTGGAAATGAAGAAAACTTGCTGCCTTATGTTGCTCTTTCCCATAGTGTGAGAAATATACATTTTCCCCACAGCTTTCAATGCTTTCCCATAGCTTTCATTAGAAATTGAATTTTGCTCTGGGAAGACTGGACTCTTTTTGGAGCTGTTTCATTCCCATGGAGATATCCAATAAACACTAGTTTGAGATCTATTGTTTGTTCATTTGGTAATATGCTAGAATGGACATAAACCTTGTTTAAATAAAATTAAACTCAAATTTGACTGGGCATGGTGGCTCACACCTGTAATCCCGTCACTTTTGGAGGCCAAGGCCGGTGGATCACCAAGTCAGGAGTTCAAGACCTGCCTGGCCAAGATGTTGAAACATTGCCTCTACTAAAAATACAAAGAATTAGCCGGGTGTGGTCGTGGGCGCCTGTAATCACCACTATTTGGGAGGCGAAGGCAGAGAACTACTTGAACCCAGGAGGCAGAGGTAGCAGTGAGCTGAGATTGCGCCGCTGCACTCCAGCCTAGGCAACAGAGCGAAACTCCATCTGAGTAATAATAATAATAAAATAAAAATGAACTCAAATTTAAGAGCTCTGTTTGTTCACTCTGATGAAACACTACTGTAAGACATAGCAGAGGAAAGCTGAGCATGTTGGAGATCTGTGTAGTTAGCTTGATAAGAAGGTAATAGTTCTTTTTCACTCATTCTTGATGTTAGTATTTATAGAATGAGAGAAATAACAAATGTTGCATGCGTAATCTAGGGCAGCACCTAGCTCTGGAACACTTAGCAAAATCTGTTGTTTTTGAAAACACTTCACAATATTTGCTTCTGCTTGAGTCATCAGATAGTATTAATTAAATGTGTACTTCTAGGTGTATTATAAACTGTTTATGGATGGTAATTTATCATGGCTGTTGAACTATTTAAGTATGTTAATATATTTGTTTCAACCTCTAAGATTTGCTATTTCATTGACTTCCTTTAGAACTGATTTCAGTGTTTAATCAATGCTTACAAGCCCAAGAATGTTGCACATTTTATTGCCAATCCTGCGGTGAAGTCATAATAAAAGACAGGTAAGGGATATATTTAACACTTATTAATTCTGTGTCTGGCAATGGTTATTTCTTTACCCATCAGAATTTTTGAAGTAATTGCCAATGGAGTAGTATATGGCCTTAAAGTGAGAGCCAGCTTAATGTCACTTTGAACAAAATCAGCCACAAAACTTGCTAGCAATCACAGAGTGATTAGCTCTTAGGAACATAAAGGGGAGCACTAGGATGCTGATTTTGAGAGAAGAGAGCTGATCTTGGCTGAAGAACCTGTGCTGATCACTGAAGCACCTCCTTCCTGAAAAGAAACATGGCATCTGTCACATGTTTCATCCGGCACGATGCTGAGTGACGTTTTCCACATTCAGTGATTTTTCTGCACATAATAGAAGCTTTGCACAACACTTTTTATTTGAACTATTTTTATCAGTGCCCTTCTAAAATCCATTTCCTATTACTCCTGCTTATTGAAACAGAGCGTACAGAGCACAAATTAACCTTTTCTCAATGATTAGGTTAATTTTATAACTTATTCTTGCCATGTGCTGTGATTACCCTGTTGAGACGGGAAGGGCTGGGTTTTTTGTTGTTGTTTTCAGGGGTTTTTTTGTGGTCCCCAAGGCTGTTTTAATTTTTTTTTTTTCTTTTTTGGTCTTCTGTCTTCCTCGTATCAACCTTCTTGTTTCTTGGGCACAAACCCTCCCCTCTGAAATTTCAGCCACTAGTCACTCACAGGCTAGAGAGACAGATTAAATCCTAATTATTGTTAAAAATATTTAAAGAAAGGACTTAGAGTTCTTTATTAGATGGGTTTCCTGAGTCAGGTTCCTAAGACTTATAAGTGAACAGATCCTCCTTATCTGAAACCTGCTTCTCTTCCAGTGCTCCTTACCTGAGTAGTGCTATACTTCTACCTGCATCCTCAAGGTAGAAGCCTGATAGTGCCTTCGGTTCCTCCCTCTGAGGCAGGGGAGTCTAAGCTTTTGACTTCCCTGGACCACACTGGAAGATGAAGAATTGTCTTGGGCAACACATAAAATACACTAACACTAACAATAGCTGATGAGTTTTAAAAGACCCCTTTTGCCAAAACTCATAATTTTTTATAAAAACATACTTTATTGCACTTTAGGTTCTGGAGTGCCTGTGCAGAACATGCAGAATTGTTGCATAGGTATATGCATGGCAATGTAGTTTGCTGCCTACATCCCTGTCATCTGTATCTGGCATTTCTCACCATGTTATCCCTCCCCAACTCCCTACCTGCTGCTCTCCCTCCCGTAGTCCCCCCCAACAGACCCCAGTGTGTGATGCTCTCCTCCCTGTGTCCATGTGCTCTCATTGTTCTCACTCACCTATCAGTAAGAACATGCGGTGTTGATTTTCTATTCTTGTGTCAGTTTGCTGAGAATGATGGTTTCCAGATTCATCCATGTCCCTACGAAGGACACGAACTCATCATTTTTTATGGTTGCATAGTATTCCATGGCGTATATGTGCCACATTTTCCTTGTCCAGCCTATCATTGATGGGCATTTGAGTTGGTTCCAAGTCTTTACTATTGTAAACAGTGCCACAGTGAACATACGTGTACATGTGTCTTTATAATAGAACGATTTATAAATCCTTTGGGTGTATACCCAGTAATGGGATTACTGGGTGAAATGGAATTTCTATTTCTGGGTCCTTGAGGAATTGCCACACTGTCTGCCACAATGGTTGAACTAATTTACACTCCCACCAACAGTGTAAAGGTTTTCCTGTTTCCCCAATCCTCTCCAGCATCTGTTATCCAGATTTTTTTTTTTTTTTTTTTTTTTTTTTGAGACAGAGTTTCACCCTTGCTACCCAGGCTGGAGTGCAATGGCGCGATCTCGGCTCACCGCAACCTCCGCCTCCTGGGTTCAGGCAATTCTCCTGCCCCAACCTCCTGAGTAGCTGGGATTACAGGCACGCACCACCATGCCCAGCTAATGTTTTTTGTATTTTTAGTAGAGACGGGGTTTCACCATGCCGACCAGGATGGTCTTGATCTCTTGACCTCGCGATCCACCCGCCTCGGCCTCCCAAAGTGCTGGGATTACAGGCTTGAGCCACCGCGCCCGGCCATCTCCAGATTTTTTAATGATCGCCATTCTAACTGGCATGAGATGGTATCTCAATGTGGTTTTGATTTGCATTTCTCTAATGACCAGTGATGATGAGCATTTTTTCCTATGTTTGTTGGCCTCATATGTCTTCTTTTGTGAAGTGTCTGTTCATATCCTTTGCCCACTTTTTGATGGGTTTGTTTTTTTCTTGTAAATCTGTTTTAGTTCTTAGTAGATTCTGGATATTAACCCTTTGTCAGAATCAATATTGTGAAAATGGCCATACTGCCCAAAGTAATTTATAGATTCAACACTGTCCCCATCAAGCTGCCTATGACCCTCTTCGCAGAACTGGAAAAAACACCTTAAACTTCATGTGGAACTGAAAGAGAGTCCACATAGCCAAGTCAATTATAAGCAAAAAGAACAAAGCTGGAGGTATCACGCTATCTGACTTGAAACTATACTGCAAGGCTACAGTAATCAAAACAGCATGGTACTGGTACCAAAACAGAGATAAAGACCATTGGAACGCAACAGAGGCCTCAGAGGCAACGCCACACATCTATAACTATCTGATCTTTGACAAACCTGACAAAAACAAGCAATGGGGAAAGGATTCCCTGTTTAATAAGTGGTGTTGGGAAAACTGGCTAGGCATGTGCAAAAAGCAGAAACTGGACCCCTTCCTGACACCTTATACTAAAATTAACTCCACATGGATTAAAGACTTAACATAAGACCTAACACCATAAAAACCCTAGAAGAAAACCTAGGCAAAACCATTCAGGACGTAGGCATAGGCAAGGACTTCATGACTAAAACAACAAAAGCATTGGCAATGAGAGCCAGAATAGACAAATCAGATCTAATGAAACTCCAGAGCTTCTGCACAGCAAAAGAAACAATCATTAGAGTGAACCAGAATGGGAAAAATCTCATGTTTTAAGAAAGTTTACGTATTTGTGTTGGGCCACATTAAAAGCTGTTGGGCCCCATGTGGCCCAGCAGCCATGGGTCAGACAAGCTTGCTCTAAGGGGTTTCCCCCCATAAATAGTTGCCAGATTCTTTTGCATAGCATGTCTTATGTAAGTCCACTTTGCTCCACCCTAGTGCCTCTACCTTAGTTGAGGCCACTGTCTTCTCACCTAATTGCACTTGTTGCCAGCTCCTCATCCACTGAGCCTCCCTCTAGTTTCACCCTCTTATGTGATCTATTTTAGCACAACTGAGTCATTGTTCTCAAATGTATCAGGCTCTACTGGTCAAACCCCTCCTGGGCCCCCCATTTCTCCAATATAAATTCCAGAAACATGCTATGTTAGGACCTTTATGAGTTTATCTCTATTTACCTCTCCACCCTCACATTTCATACCTCTTTCCCCAACCTATTCCTCCTCCCCCCAAAAACATCCCATTATTGGTTAGCATTCTGTACACAGCTCTGGTAATTAGTATGATTAGAGCCCAGTAGTCTCTTCATGATTCTTTTCATCCTGGGGCCTTATGAAAGTGACTTCCTTTCCTGGAATGCACCCCACACCCTGTCTCCCCCTTGTTGGCTCCTACCTGAACTTCATAATTCAGCTGACAGAACAACCACTGTTAGGAGCCTTCTCTCAACCCTGGGTTGGTTTAGGTGCTTTTCTAAGGTTTATTTGCCTGTCTTCACAATTAAACTGTAGGCTCTCGGAGTGGAGATAATCTTGTTGCCCCCTGTATCCTTTATCCCTACTCTTTTGAGAGTGCTGTATAGTGTATTCCCTCTGAGTCTGCCTAGCAGTGCAGACTTAGAAGCTAGACCAACTGGGTTTACACCTGCCATTTACTAGCTGTGTGACTCTGGGCAAGTCTTAACCATTCTGTGCCTCAATTCTCTTATTGCAAAAATGTGGCTAACAATAGAACCTACCTCATTTGGTTGCTAGGAGAATGGAGTGAGTTTAAGTGTTTATGACAGTGCCTGGCATGTGGCAAGCATTCAGAATTAGCTACTGCTATGATTACTATTCTCATCGTCGTCATCATCCCCATCCTCAGCATCAGGCACTGTCCCTGGTGAATGGTATGGTCTCAATCAATTTTTGCTGGTTGGATTGAACGAATATTGACATGTTTGTTTTGGCCTTCCCCCAACCTTTCTCACTTGCTTCCTGATTTCTGGCAGTGTCCCAGGTAGATGAGATGGTGCAGAGTTACACTGGCATAAGTGAGAGGTTACAAATGGAGGATCCTCAGGAAGACTATCTTAAGAAATGAGGTGACTTTAAATTTGCAGAAGAGGGACCTTATCTTTGCTTGGATTACATAAGGGTTGAAGTTACTGCGTGTACTCAGGACAGGCCCACTTTATCCTAAAAGGTTCAGGGGAATGTCAGTTTGCATTGTAGTTTAACCAAGAGTGTTTTCCCTCCCTCAGTCTAGTTTAGGCTTTGGTTGAATTCTTAAATGAAGTTTATGAAACATTCATTCCTAGACAACAATGGGGATACCTAGAAGTTATAGTCAGAACATGTTAAATCCGTGTAACAGTATTTCCTGGTGCTGCTTACAGCAAAGTTCATTCATTATTGGCTGTTATTTGTGTTTCATTGGAACAGGATAATAATATGAAAAATCTTTTATCTGTTGCCCCCATTTTTTCTATTCAAGAACTGTATCTTCTGTGTCAGTCCCTTTTACAGTCATGGAACTGAGAACTAGAAGGTCAGCAATCACTCTGCCTACCCCTGACCATCGGCAGGCGCTGGAGGCAGGAGTAGGAGAATGGGACCTGGGTTTGAACTCCAGCTTTGTGACTTAGTAGCTGGGAAGTCGTGTTTGTACTACCTCAGGTTCTTCTAATACAGCCTTCTAATAAGGCCTGTTTCCTAAACTTTCAAGAGAGTTAAAGGATGTAACATATGTAATAGTTAATGCTCAATAAGGTC